TTTGTGATGCTTGATGGATGTTTACATGGCTTCCCTCCTTTGGTTTTTTTTATTGATTTTGGGGTTTTATGTGCCTGTATTTTTTGTTGTTTGTTTTTTTTTTAACAGTAGAAATGTCAGTCATGTCTAATTCAGTCATCCCTCATTACTCCTGTGAGGACCACGGAAAGGCATATGGAATATTAATATTTAGAACATAACTCTTGAAGATATGAGGATGCCTTTTTATATAGCACAGGTTGACACAGAGCTGCTGAAACTCAGATTGCAGTCATGGCCCAGCATCCAGGTTACACTAAAGGATCTCTTAGACATTTTCCTTTCCTTTGACTTTCTCTGCACTATGGGATGTGGCTGAGTGGGCCTGTGTTTAGGTTCTCTGCCCTTGATCCCAGAAGAAGAAATGGAATTTCCCAGTTGCCTCTCTCTTCACTCCTAGCATGGAGCTACTCCAGCTAACACTGCTGGTGTGAGACCTTTAAATCTGTGCTGATTTAGGCATGGCAAAATGCTGGCCTGCCATTCCTTGCACAGCAGCTGGAAATGCCATCAAGATGATCTTCCTTCTGGTAATGAGGGTGAAAAATCAGGAAAGGAAGGTGTTGGAGCTGCTTCTCATTCCTGTTTTTGACTTAGCAGGGGGGACTGAAGCACACAAAAAGGTTCAGCTCTCCCAGCACTCCCTGGAAACTTGTGTGATRTGCTAAGACACGGCTCATAGGGAAAATACAACCCTGAAATAAAAGACCTTTTTAGATTTTTAAAYTTTCCTCAGATGCTGGTTATCAGGAGTTCTGTGCTGATGACGTGGCAGGGTTGAGTGGAGKTTATTGAGGTAGAGCTGTAGCCAGTCTTTCTCTGGCAAGTTAATAAGATGGCAAAAGTGCTTTCAATGCCACTGGTAGTCTTTGAAATTGTGCAAAAGTCCTTTGGATTTATCGAAAGCTAATCAGTATGACATTAACAAAGAACAAAGCTAGCCTAATGAAGATGAAAGATTTGAGAAGTGGATTATTTTTCTTTTGTTCTGTCTTTTTTTCCCTGAAACACTTGCCCTTGTTGGCTGGGTAACAGGCTGTGTGTTATCAAATGAAATGAGGAGTGTTTGTGTGTGTTGAATTAGATCCTTTTTCTCTTTGTCTGTCAGGATTTCCTTCGTAAATGCAGGTTTTAACCAAGTCATTAAAATGCTCATTTAGCCGAAATTTGGCAATCGAATTCTTCCACCGACAAGATGCTTTAAATATTCTTTACCTAGTCAACAAAATTTGATTAAAATCAGCATGGGTGTTTCTTTCCCCAAACTCCTCTCTCTCCTTAATTGAGTGTCCAAAAATAGCCTGTTTGGGTACTTTCCATGCATTCCTCCAAGAAAACAACATTCAATCAAAATGTGGAATTTCAAATTTTTTGGACTGTAAAGGCTATCTTACTATGTGAAGATGCAGCAGTAAAATTAAAGCCAGGAATAACCTGCGTGATGCTGTTCTGCACAATAATAGAACCCCAGGAAATTATGCACTGTGGGCTCCTGAGGTTTGAAAACTTTGAATAGCTTTAATTGATCAAAATGACAAAGCCTGGAACTTCTGGTGCTCAGACTAGTGGAATACCTCCCAGGATTAGCAGGGCACTTGCATTCTCTGAGTACCAAATACCAGCAGTAACATACAAACACACAGAAATGAAAGTTGTGTTCCTGCTATGCAGACTTTACAGATTTTGTAAAGTCACTACGTGAAAATWCAGCAATGAGATTCCTTGCCCTTCCAAGTAATTTTAACCGGAAATAATTAAAGACTGTGTCTATACCTCAGTTTTCCACCTGTAAAAGCTGACTTCTGTTATGAATTTGTCGCACATACTCCCTCCTGGGGGCCTTCTGCTGCTCCCACAGGGTGAACATGTTGATATATGAATGCATTCAGACATCTGCTCTTTTCACATACCCCCGTGGCTGAAAGCTGAGCCTGAAATCTGTCCAAGAGACACCAATTTTTATACTCAGGAGGACCACATCTAACACTGACCCTGACCTTCASGCTCCCTCAGATACCCTGTGTAGCTCACGAGTAAATGCTATTAAAATTTAGATTTAAAAGAATGTATCATCTTCTTTGCAAATCTRTCTCTAAACTCCAAAGTTGTCAGTGATTTTAGTCTTTAAAAATATGGCCTTGTGTGGCTTTCCCGTGATACTGACTGTCCTTGTCTGCAATGCATCGTGTTCTTGGTGCATATTGGTTTCATGCACCTTCCAGTGGCCTTTTGCAGGAATATTCAGTGCTGTATTTCAGCTACAATTCAGAAAATTACAACTTCAAGACACTGAATGACACAAAAAAACATGAAGACTGTTGAGCTTTATCAAGGTCTGTTTTAGCATAGTGTTCTTACTTTCAAAAGACCTGCAGAAAATCTTAAGCGATTTATTTAGTAGCAAGATAAAAATATTGATGTTGTTATTTTCAAAGCTTCTTTTGTTTTGGAAGCTTTTTGAAATACATGGAAATGATCTCACATAAATCAGAAAAGGCAATTGGAGTGTTCAGACTGTCACTGTGTCCTTAGGTCATTGTGTACTGGGATACTGAAAGGAACTCAGAACAGGTGTAATATGACATACAACACTTGATGATTTATGACCCMTCTACCTGGAGAATATAGTATGAGATAATAGTTACTGGTCTGTTKTCTAGAAACCCCCAGCACCAACAGTCTCAGCTGAAATGAAAATCGAAGTGGCAACTGGCCAGYGCAGCTTAAAATGGGGCTGTGAATGACAGCCCTAAAACTGAGTTCCATTGTGTTTATGGTTTAATGTCAGTGTCTCAAAACTTTCCCTAAATAACATATTTTTAGTTTTATTATTTCTGTTACAGTGGGGCAAGAAAAAGCATTATTAAGGATGTACTTGATTTCTCAYTTGAGCTTTCTGTCTCCATCACCCTCAGATCATGAGTGAACTATTTTGGAAATTTGAGGGCAGTTTGTTCAATCATTTTTCAAGAAGGCAAGAAGTGTCAAGGGAGGGAGATTTTCCTAATTTCTCCTACTATTCCTATATTTTTTTTTTTTAAATCACCATTATGTTGTAAGCAAACAGCTGAAGGATATCAGAATTCAATTCATACTAGGTAGACAACTGTAGTCACTTGAGCGCTTCAATGAAAACTTGTAGGATCAAATCCTCAGTGCCAAATTCTCTGTGCTGAATCTAGTGACAAACCCGAGATGACCCAGACTTCTTCTTGCTTGCTTGCARCCAGCAAAATCTGAAGGTAGGATAGAAATTTCACCTTTCTGTGCACCTGTGCTGAAAGGCCATGGTGCAYGGCTGGGACTGAGGAGCACTGCCTGTTAATTTTATCTCTTCTAGATGGGTGACCAAGGCAGAGAACTCAGCTTGGCTGCTAAAAATGGGGCACTAGGATTATTTTAAGGTGTGAGGTGAACAAATGTCATGCTGAAAGAACTGTGGAAATTCAAGAAGGCACCAAAATGATGTGAAAACAGTTACATATATGTGTAAGTTCTAGTTTGTTTGGCGTTCATCTCCTGTTCCTGTTGCTGCAGTACAGAGGAAGGAGGGAGTTGAAGATGGGAGACTGTGACTATGCCAGGGAGGAGCGAAATGGAAGATCTGAGATAGGTGTYAAAAGAGGGAGGAAATCAGGCTCTCTAAATTAGGTTTGTGATGGTAATACAGTGTCTAATGCAAAATAAAGAAATGGAGCCACAATAAACCTTTGGGCATTTCTTTGTTAGCACATCAAGTTGTGGCACAGAGGGTATTTTCAGCAATTTGAGAAATATCTAAAAGTTTCCCTACTTTCTTCAGGCTCACAGTGTGGAGAGGAGCTGGCTTTTTGAGGGGTTAAAGAGMTATAAATGATTGTTTTGAATAAAAGCCTTATCAACAAAAACCTCTCACAACAGTTGTCTGTGTAATGTTAGATGTAAAATAGTGTGATATTTGAAAGTTTTATTGAGATTCGTGCATCTTGCCCTGTGCAATTCTCTTCTGGCTCTTCCATGCTGGTAATGCCAAATTCAAGCCAAGAAAATGACAGTACTCATCTGCAAGATGTATACACATTGTAATTGCCTAAGAACAAAATTGTCTTATRTAACTAATAATCTCACTTCAGCATTTTCAAAGCTTTGGTGGCATATCCTATGTCAGGGAATATTTGTAAATATTGATGCAAAATTGTTTCTGTGTGTAAMTCAAATCTTGAAAGGTTTCATGTGCAGCCAGTGAGTGGGTGTGTGTTTTTGTTTATTTGAGAATATATCTGCCTACATAATCCCTCATCTTATAGGCTACATATTTCCCTTGTCAAAAGGAGAATCATATTGAATGGCTGTTAAATAGTAATACATTTCACTTACTATTATTATATAAGTTTGGCTTTCATCCAAGCTTCTCATATTACTTAGTATTAATTAATGCYTGATAATCCTGATAGGACATAGAAAATACTGCCCCCATTAAAAATGGTTAAACAGAACCACAGTGTAATTAAATAATTGTCTGTAGTGGCATTGTCACTCCTGTTTCAAAGTGTGTTAATTCTGAGTTCACTGTCTTCCTGTAAAATCACAGTAGACATAGAGAACACTAGTTTTTTTTATCTCAATGTATCTGCCCAGGGTCAGTCCTGGAAGTGATTGCGTGTGTATGTGTGTGGGTGACTGTAACTGGCTGCTTCTAGAATAGCAACTGTGCTTTCTTCATCATCCTTTTTTGGTTTTGGTTATTTGAGATTCCTCTGGAGTTCACAAGCTTGATTGCAAGATGCTCTTTCTAGAGGTGAGGAATAGTCAAGTCAGCCAGAAACTAAAGCAGTAAGTCTTTTACTGTSATACTGCTTCTAAATCCTCCACTGTCCTTTTGCAGGGTGGAAACATAACACAGAACTGAACCCAACTCTCTMCCCCAGTTATGAAATGTCTGAAAGCTGTTGAGATAGTATTTGACTTCTTTTCTTTTCCAGCTTAATCCACATTACCCAGAAGGTAATACTGAAGGAAAAGCTTTGGTAAGTGGAATTTATATGTTGCATATAATCTGGGGAACACTGTATCCTTCACCCAGCAAAGCCTGACATATGCAAGACCTTCATAGCTTTCTTTTTATTTACATGTTTCAGCTGCTGGGATTCTTTTCCATATCCTGTGTAAGGTAGGATGAACTGGCAGTTCAGAACGTTTTCCCTCATGTAAAGCAAATGATAAAGAACTTACTCAAATTCTGCATCAAAGTGGCATTAGTTGAAGCTGTTTTTCTTGGTATTTGACTGCAGACCTGAATATATTCGTTCTTCTCAAGTCAGATATGTTACTTCATGGCAACAGCCTTTGCCTGGTAAAACATCAAGAACATTTTAGCTGATTCCAACTCATGAGGCAAGGCGAGAACTGGAGATTGTAGTGTGTAGATTATAGGARGTGTACTTAAAACCTTGGGGGAATTCTATTGTTATCAAGTCAACAAATATTCCAAAAAACAATCATTCCTCCATCAAATTCATGAGATTGCCTTGGAAAGGCTGAGCTCTTCTTCAAAAAAATTCAGTTTAATTTCTTTCTGCTTGCCTCCCGGCTTTTGTTCTTTGAGAGAACACATTTTCAGGTTTTTCTCTGCACAGGGAAGAATTTTTTGATTTTTCATGACATGAAACCCAAGATTCTTACATAATCGCATGCCTCGAGGACTGCAATTTTAATAAAAATGGAAACTTTCATAGGAGTTGGCAACATTGGTTTTCCATCTTCATTGGTATTTGGCATTAATGGTAATATAGCAATAACAGCTAAGATGTCTAGAAGAATGAGAATTTTCTCCTACAAAAGTACAGAAGTTCCACCAGTTTTTTATACTGGAAGGACACTTGAGGGCTTTGGAGCTTTAGAATGGAAATCAAGATCAGTTCTAGAATTCCCCAAYGAGTAGGTGTCAGGCCCTTGTCACTGAGGATCCAATTCTCCTGTACCAYACCATGTTTATTTATAGTATAGGGTTTCCATCTGTAGCCATTTCARTTCATCTAAATAGTTAAACATCCCCTGGACTGGTAATGATGAAGGCACAAGAATAATCTAAACATGARTGTTAAGGGTGGCTTCACTCGCAGTTTGGCTTATTCCTCCTGGGTATTGGTTTCAGCTGAAAACCCAGACCAGATAAATCACATTAGAGAAATACTTCCAATTAAAAAAAATAATTGAAGCTGGTTGATGACCAAAACTGATGGCTCTGTGGAAATTTTAATGTCTGCAGTCAGCATTTTCCTGTGAAAGTTGTTTTGTGGAAGAACTTCTAGCAATTTTTGGTAACACCTCCACGTAAATCCAAGCCTACAGGCTCTGTTAGTGTTGTAGAAATCCCTTTGGATCCTTCATCCCTTTATAATCTTGGTGGAAATGCCCTGAGTCAGCAATGGCTATTTAAGCCTTCATTCTGCCCTTGAGCAGCTGAGTAGAGAAACTTCATATCCATGTGCAGGAATTTCTTTTGGGTTACAATGATGCAGTGTTTTGAATTGTCCCTCAAAAGTACATGAGTCTTACAATATCTGGCGTTCTTTGAGGATCAGCTGTGTCAGTGTTGTGTATGTAGCACATAACCTGGAGCACTCAGGCTTTCCTTGCCCTGTGGTTATCATCTCGTTTCCTCTGCCTGGTCTCTGCCTAACTGGCTCACTGCAAAGGCATCTTCTTTTTCATCTTTTGGAGGAATTCATTTTGAAGTTCCACCCATGAAGTAAATCKGGAGGGGGGAAGTTGAAGTGGACCTTCCCTAGCCTGGTTTACAAGGCCTGATCCCAGCTGCTTGGGCAACTGAATTTTGGGAAGCGGCAATGGAGAAGGGTTTTCCATGGTGCAGCAGTGGGCACAGACACTGAGGTTCTGCCTAAGCACATCTTTCCTGCTTTGCCTTAAGTGATTCAAAAGTCTGGAAGGGTTTTGGCTCCAGAGGACATCAATATTACTGGAAGTCACTAGGACTTCTGTTCCAAGCATTAAAGGTATGTTTGGACTGAGGTTCATTGCTTGTTTATGAGCTTCTTCTTGACAATCCAGCCAAATTGTCTTGTGAAGCACTGCTTTTAATTCTGGTAAAATTTGGCCTTATAATGAATTGAGTAATATTCCCACATCTAAACTCCAGAATAGATTTTTTTTTGTTTAATGGGAAGACCTTTCTGTAATATAAGGGTCTTATCAGAAAAAGGCTTCATCTCTTGAAGTCTAGGAGAGTGTAGTATATCATGCATCAAAATWCAGTGGTCTGTGTTACAGCTCCCATTAAACCCAAAATTAGTGTATTTTCTGCTGCAAATAAGTGTGTTTTTTTTTCTAAGGAGCAAAATATACAGCATGCAGAAGAATTCTACAAACATCTGGGAAATGTCAGTGGTGGYTGTGAACCTGGCATTTGTTAGTGCCTTTGTGTTAAAGGCTGACTTTGGATAAGTACCTCATCTCCATTTGTCTGCATTTTCATGAGAGGACTAATTCTAACAGTTCCAAACTGCCTTTTATTGTTGAGATTTTCCTTAGGATTGAGACTGGTATGCATTTACTTTTCTTGTAAAGATGTTGGGCATTTCCACCATGAGCTGCCAGGTGCAATTTGATGTATCTTCTTTGACTCCTGTTTTTCTATCTGTATGAATTGCCAACCTTCTGCAATTCTAACTTTTCTTTCTTGCTGCCRACTCAGGAGATTTTTTTCCTGATAAACACTGCAAATGAATTTTTTGTAAAAAAAATTTATTTTACCTTCCAGAAACAAAGTCTATTGTATTATATATTTTATATGGCTGATGTAGTTTAAACAAGTAGACCAGACAATCTGAAAAACATTGAAAAGAAAAAAGAAAAATCATCATCTTAAAAATGGCAGCTTATATAAAACCAGCAGTCAGACCACTGGGGAGGCTGGGGGAGAAGGGGAGACATGGATGCCGGCACATTATTATTATTCTGCTGTTGCACACGGGTCTGAATCAGCTCTGGAAATGCATACATTGTTTCTTACAGAATGTCTCTGGCTCCTAACAACGGGATTGCAACGTGATGTCTCTGCTAAAAATGCGATGACTCACAAATGAGTCAACAGTGAAGGTGTTACAGGAGGCTAACTGCTGTGCTGTCTGCCAGGGCTCCTGGCATGCAGGAGCAAGGCTGCCCATTAATTTACTCCATTTTCTTCTCATAAAGAATTTTTAAAATAATCTAACCTATGGAGTTCTGCTCACGTTACTGCTCTGTGAAAATGCTGGTTTTGTAAGTGCTTCCTAAACTGGGTTAACATATTGAGATACCACATTGCTCTGGATTTAACAGGCATTTTCAGAACTCTGGCTGCTATTAAATTTAATTTCTGCTGAAWTCTGTAGTGCAGCTTAATGTATTCATTCAGGAGCAGGGCATTATCCTTGTCTGTCTCTRTGCCACAAGAGGTGTCTTCACCAATTGGAATTGTAGATTGGGTTTCTAAAAGGTATTATAGGTCTGTCATGTTTTTGTACTGTTTTTTGCAGTTRAAATGAAGGCCCTTCTGTAAGCAAAACTCCATGTAAATGTCTTGAATTTTAGGTGTGATTTCCAGTTGAGATGGAAGGTTTGTGATAGGTCACAATTAGCAGCAAATTCTATTAGGAGCTGTGGAAAGGGTTATCTACTGGGCTGCAAGTCTCAAGAAAGAGGCAAARCTGATTGTACCTGATAATTTTGTCCCTGATTCCAGCATGGGATTTGTCTCCCCTTACATTTGCCCTYCAAATGGCAAGTGATATATCTGCATTGCTTTTTGTCTTTAAGCTTCTTTTTAAATCATGATGCATTGTAAATCAGTGGTGGTAGCCCAGGAGCTTCTGACTTKGCTGTGGGTCTGGATCAATATTTCYACTCCTCACCAAAATGGTGGGTTTTTTCACTAATTAGGATTYTTTTTTTGAATGCTCAGCCTTTGCKTCCCTAGATCCTGGAGAAGTGSCMCTGGCTGTGTGGTGGGGGTTTCCTCAGTTCCCTTTCCAGGTGTGATTTTTGAGCTTTGCTGCTGCAGAACAAGGCTGGGAGGGCTCACAGCCTTCTGTGCCAGTGGATACTGAGGTTTTCTTAGGCTGAAGRAGCTGACTCTGCTCTTTGTACCACCTGATACTTAGATTGGGCTGTTTGGAAGGTCAAGGCCAGGCAGAAGTGTAGCTGAATGTGTGTTTCCTTCATTCGTGTGAGTGATTTAACCAGTGCACAAGAGGGAAGTGATTCCACCTTCTTTGCCTTGGATATGTGTCTGATTTGACTTGTGRCAGCCTGTTGCTAGTTTGTTGTAGTTTGGGACAATCAAAAGTATATATGTTTTCCTTCAGTGAATGTACTATTTGGTAATATTGTTTTACCCACACTTCTCTATACTCCTAGAATATAATTCACCTGTTTTTTTTGTTTTTTTTTGTAAAGTCTTGGGAGTGCTTTCCATAGCTGTCACTGGTCCTACCACCGACATCTCTGAAACTGTTCCATTGGCTTTGTCTTCACACTGCTTTAAGTTGAATTTTCTTTCTACATTTGAGTTCCTTTGCAGTTCTTTTCTTCCTTTCTCTTAATTGAACCCAGTTTTGCTGGCTGCATCTGCTCATATCCCAGTTTTTTACATGAGCAAATGTCATCTTGTTTTTGTCTCCTTAGGAATAGAGTGCTTCTCCTGAGCTATTGTCTAATTAATTTAAACTACCCTAGTACTTTCACTTCTTTCCACATCCTCACGTAGACTCATCTGCTGATTCAATAATGGCTGGGTTAAATTCACGTCCTGATGGCTGCTTACTACATTTAATTTATCATGAGAAGCTTTCTATGTGCAAGTGTCTGCGCATCCTCTCTCTCCCACACACAGAGGCACGTGCACGTGCACTGAGACATAAACTGAGACATAAATACTAGTCCATGTCTGTTTACATGRCATTATTGCTGTCTCTCATGTACCCCTTGCATGCAACTTGTTTTGAGAGCTATCTGTCCCAGCTGAAACCAGGACATGTAGAAACCTGGATATGTGGACAGTGGTCTGTGGGAGATGGTGAGACATTTTGTCATGAGTTTAAAAATCTCTGTAACAGTGAGTAGAATAGGCTTTCATATTTTGTGCTGTATTTTACCTAGAGTCCCAGGATAAAAAGAAAACCATATACAATTATGAAGTGTCCTGCCTTTTGCTATAGCAGTCATTTCAATTTGGAAATTGCAGTGAAGTGGGTAGTTTCTGGGAAACCCTAACTAAATTTGAATGTAAGTTGTGGAAAATATCAAAAAGTTTGGATGCTGTTCTCAACTATCCTGTGCTACTCACACCTTTACAGACCTCTTGAGTTTTAACCTGATTTTCAAGTTTTCTGTTTTGTTATGAAGTGTAGGAAGTAGTTTTTCGTTTAATATTAGATTCTGACTCACACCTGTTAAGCTCTTAGGATTCTTTTATTGTTTCTGTGCCTTCTCAGTTTGTGTCTCATCACAAGCATGTAAAACAAAATATGTATGGAAATCACGAAAACAATTCACCGTTTTCTCTATCCTTGCATGCAGCTTAATTTTTTGTGCGTTTTTCTTTAGTGTTTTTGGGGATGAGATATGATAGGATGTGGGGGCTGTCAGAGGGGTTTACTCTTGTGCAAGCCTTGCTCTCAAACTCTAGTGGCAGTAGTGGCTAGAGGAGCCTAAGAAAAATTTCTTTCTGTATAGTTTTTCTACTCTCTATCCTTGATAGAAGTCACGGAATGGAAAGTTGGCATTTTTTAAGCTTGATAATGAAAAAATGGATCTTTTAGAAGGATTCAAAAAGTGCCTCAAAATGAGTTGACAACTAACTCTTTTTTCCATAATTTCACACATCCTTGATTTCGTTGTTTAATCTCAATTGGCAATGTGGATAATCAAAGCTTTGCCCTTGATTATCCCGTATGGTTTATTTTTAATCAAGCTGCTAATGCAAACCAAGTACAGCCTGGCCTTTTACATTGTACAGCTCTTCCTTAGTGCTGCATAGTAAATCATTGTAATAGCATTTCAGGCTTCCAGGGTTGGGKTTTTTTTTTCTCTTTTGGCTTTYCTCATTCCTCTTCTCCTCTCCCCCATAGTCTTTTGTAAGATGTGTAACTCGACACTGCAGAGGAGCAGCTTTTACTTAGGCCAGTAATTCTGTTGTGTGGATATGGGCACAGGCTCTGAAGGACTCCTTCAGGCCAGGGAGCGTGCTCAGGGAAGGTGGCACTTGCAGTCTGTAGACAAAGGTACATAAATAACTAAAGAAATGAGGATGGCTCCTTAGAGCTGCAGGGTCACAAAATTCCCATGGACTTTCAGMAGGTGGTGGGAGGAAGATCCCACCTTCGCTCGCGTGCCTTATTTGTCCCTCAAAGGGAACAACTTGTGCCCTTGCAGGGTGTAAAATCAGACCTGTGTTGGATCTAGCCTCGGGTGTGTTATCAGCCTGGGCTAAGGATKGTAACACAATCTTGCTGGGCCTTTCCCTGTCCCCCTTCCCATGACAAGCTGATCCTGCTGGAGCAGRTGTTCTGGCTCTTGCTGTTTGGAGAGTGTTGACAGRACAAGMGGAAATGRCCTCAATCTGCTCCRGGGAAGGTTYRGGTTGGACATCAGGAATAATTCCTTCATGTAAAGGGCTGGAAGACATTGAAATGGGCTGCCCAGGGAGGTGAYRGAGTSRCCATCTCTTGAATTGTTTGAGAAACAGTGGGGTGTGGCTCTCACTCAGTGGGGCATGGCTCAGGTGACAGGGTGGTCACTCAAAGGCTGAACTCAATGATCTTGGAGGCCTTTTCCAACCTAAATGATTCTGTGATTCTCTGAAAGTGTACTGCTGTGAGTGTGCCATATGAGAGGAAAAAGCCATAAAACTCACATAAAACAATGGATTTAGGCAAATTGCTTACTTTTTAAATCTCTTCCTCATCTTAAAAAAAAATTAAAAAAACCTGATTTTTATTAATTCTCTTCATTCAACTGTGGCCCTTTCAAGACCAGCACTGTGTAGTTCCATGTGCTGGAAGTGAGGGGCCTGCAACTACTGCAGGTTTTTTGAAGTTGTAGGTGTCAAATAAAGCATATCCAGAGCTGCAGKCCCTCTGTAGCTTGTGGCCTGCTGTTGTTCTAATGACTGCCTGGGACCCCATGAGGCAAAGTGCATCCTTTGTGCTATTCCAAAGCCAGTCATGGTAGATTCTTGCTAGCAGGTTAAAAAAAAAAAAAAAAAATCCAATTCAGATGTATTACTTGTCTGCAAGGTAATTGAAGAATTTCTAATGGGCCCTGATGCAAGCAAATAACCCTTRTGCCTAATCAGCAGAGAGACGGCGACCTTCCTGCTTCAAAGAAGAAACGCCAGGCAGGGGAGAAGATTATGTATACTTTGGTCTCTGTGCCACATGGAAATGACATTGCATCTCTCTTTGAACTGGATGCCACCACTCTTCAGAGAGCTGATTGCCTGGTTCCAAGGTAAAATAAAAAAATAAAAAAAAAAAAGGAAAAAAGGGCAAAAAATAGGGCTGCATTGACAGGGTTTCTTCCTGGCATTATGCTGGTGAGTAAAGCAGAAAAAAAATCAAACGTGAGCAAGTATTATCCTTCTGTTAAAATTTGAGAAGTCTTCATGGATAAACAAGGGATGTATAAAACATGATACTGCTGCTGTGACTGAGTAAAATAATTATAAGGATAAAACAAGTGACACTTAGAGTCTGTGAAGAGAAAAATAATGGTCTAAATATTGCACAGATATATGTGAGRATAGAATTGAGCTCTGCACAGTTTGAAAAAAATGTATCTCTAATAGATTCAACTGAATTGTTCTCAACAAATAATGTGTGTGGTGAGCTGGGCTTCTGTTTCTCTGACAGATGATGATGCCACTGAACACATTTGTTATTCAAATGTATTCAGCAAGTGGCTTCTGGGTTTTAATTGTCAATATTTGAAATTTCAGCTGTGTAGCATAGCTGAGATTGGCTAGATAAGTCACACGGTGTTGGTTGTGACTGAATGGGCTTGCAGACACTTGGGGATGGTTATGAGGGTGGATTCTAAAGCTGGGTACCCACAAATACTGATGTATATGGCTTTGAAGTGTGTTTGCTATGCTAAGTTCTGCCAGATAATTTGCTTACTTGAATACTCAAAAGCCCATCAGTGTGAAAGGGAGAGCGTGAATGGAGACCACAGTGAATATATTTCAAAAGTAAAATTTGGAGTCAAAATTGTAATTGATTTCTCAGCTCTGCTTTTTGATAATACCACAGATTATCATATGGAAAGAATTTAGAAGGATCTCATGTCTGCTCTTTGTTCACTTGATTTTCAGTTGAGAACTGRTACTGTAAATGCTTGCTCTGGAACAAGGGTTTGCAGATCATAATGATGAAGCTGTGAAACCACGGTCAGCTTTACTTTCTGGCTTTTGTGCTGTGACAGCTTAAAAGGACTCGTTATTCTGCAGAAAAAAAAATAATAAAAGAAATGGGTTTATTCATGAAATGTATTTCTATTCAGATGGGATTTTATAACAGCGTCCTTTTAGGCTTTTTTTTTTTCTTTAAAGAATATTTTACTCCTAGGCTTACATAAATACTTAAATCCAACATTCTGCATAATCCGAAGATGCTGGTTGTTCTTGTTGCAGCTCTTTCTGGGTGAGAAAAAAGGAGTCAARGGAAAAGGGTACTGCAGTGTGTTTTAGGTCCACCTCCCCCTTTTATTGCAGGTGGCTGGTGTGGCTCCTGCTTTTCAGTCTCCTGCCATGGGCCAGTGTTTCAGGGCAATTCCCCTTGCCCACTTGGGCTCATCCAAGGTGAGGTGAGATCAGGTGAGACCATCTCACCCACTGTTTCCTTTGTCCCCCTTTAGGAACTCCTACGTCCGACTGCGGCACTTGTGCACCAACACCTGGGTCACCAGCACCAGCATTCCAATAGACACTGAGGAAGAGAGGCCTGTCATGTTGAAGGTAAACAAAATCCCAAACCCATTCCTGAAGCTGTCTCGCTTCTAACATATGAMATGTGCATAATAATTAGGATAAAGGTAAGAGGCTTGCTCACCCACATTAAACCCAGAACTATTGCAGATTGGGACGTGCCAAACCAAAGAGGACAAGGAGGCTTTTGCCATTGTGTCGGTTCCTCTGTCTGAGGTCAGAGACTTGGACTTCGCCAATGACGCCAACAAGGTTTTAGCATCAACTGTTAAAAAGCTGGAGAATGGAACAATAACCCAGAATGAAAGGAGGTTAGTGAGTTTTGTGTCTTCTCCTGCTAAATTGGTCTTTTGTTACTCATGGTGACACAGTCATGGGTAGTTTGGTAATATCCACATGGGCACAGAGGGAGCTGGGACAGGACATTTCAGTGCTGAGGGTGCCAGCCTGGGATTAAATTCCACCTCTGTCAGAGCATCCTTGCTGTGCCTCGGGCTGATCTGTGTACCTCCTATGTAAAAGGGGGTAAACAGTACTTCCCCAGCTCACTGGCCACGTAAATAAAGAGGTAATTCCCATGGCAAATGTCTTTGTCTATGTTTGCTTTGGTAATCCACTTCTGAGCTGTGATATGAGGGTACATTGCACCTGATTCTCTTGTACAGGAAAGCAGCAGGCAGGGCTCTTGACTTGTGTGAAGTTTAYCACACTGCATAGCTGCAAAAGCCTTGGAAAGAGGTATCAGTGTAGCTGAGAAGCTGCCCCAATAATCYCTTTGCTTTCTCATTTTTATTTTCCCTTGTTCTCTTTTTCTACATCATTTTGGTCTTTACTCCTTGTATTCATCCCCATTTTGTCTGCAGCACTGTTAGAATGTCTGCTCTTCACACCCACCATGAATCAAGGGATTTTGTTGTACATTTGTTGTACATTGTGGCCAAATATATTCCACTGCTAGTGATGTAGTTCACTATTTGTCTTCAGCTGTCTATGATTAAACTGAATATAAGACAGCATCTCTGGCAATGTTAATTTGCAACCTGTAATACATCATATACAGCTTGTTTTTTTTCTGAAAATGTTAATTTTTGATGATAAAACTSAACTTTTGCAGTCAGTTTCCAGTAGCAGTTAGGCCAGATGGTTTAATAGTGTAACAGGCAGAGTTTTAGTAGCCTGGGTGTTGGTACTCAGCTTTGAAAAGCTGATGGGCCATTTCATGCTTGAGTTGACCCAGAGTGGGATATAACATTGTCAAGGTGGGACATCCCTGTATGAACCTTGTGTCAGTGTTGTCAGGTCTTGATGTTGACTGGTACAACAAACATGTAAAACATTTCAGAGCTGTTTCAGCAGTGCCATTATTCATTTGTTCCTGTGAYTTCCTTTGGAAAAAGCCCCAAACCATCTTTTTCTTGTCCTATCACCYTCCTGCTTAGACAAGTAGGAATCACAACAGTTTATTCCTGATTGCTTTATCCTACAGCTGCCTTCTCTACTCTTTTTTTGTGGGGGTGACACACACCTTGCTTTTTTCCACCAGTGGGCTGTGGCTTTGGAAACTAAAGCTCACTGAGAGGGTTTTAACACTTGCAGGTAATGGGAACTCAGTGTCTGGCTCCCAGAGATGACTGAAAATCTCTTGGGGATCTTCCTGCCTCTTTTGTGGCTGGCACATTTGTTAGTTATAGACCAGATATTGTCCAAATTCAGATGATGCTGAGTTTTGTATGTAAAAGCTTGCTAGTGCTTTTAAGGGATATTCTTTGAAATCTGTGGACATCTGTGTTTCTTGCTGCACGCCTGGCAAGGTGTTAGTARCAAAGAGGCAATGATGRCTTTKTTTTCTTTTTTTTTGCATTTGTATTCCATCTTTTTACATTTTCTGAAGGTGGGAGAGAAGGAATTACTACTGCTTCTGTCATTTTTAGCATCTGCTTCTGCCAAATCTTCTTATGTTTAGCAAAGAGTGAAACAAATAGAGTTTCTTGGGTCAGTATATAAAAGAAAACATTTATATATGAATATATATATGGAAAAGTRCATGTATCTTACAGTTTCATGGGTCAGTAGGGAAATTATCTAGTGGCAGAATGTTTTTATTCCTCTAGTGAGTCCATCACCTTGTTTCATGGACCCATGATAAAGCATAAAAATCCTTGCTAGGCTGTGTGAGTTTCTTTTTACTGCTGCTGGGCCTTGAGGCCAGCTGGTATAGATTTTGGATCTCTGAATACTGTGTATCAATCCAACAGCCTGTATTTTTCTCTTGTTTTCCCTCTGGTTGTTGTTTAATGCCTTGGTAAACAGCCCTGTGATTGTTTTAAGCTTCTGCTGCACCAAGGCTTGGAAATCCTTAAGTACATGGCAAACTTAACTTTGCAGTGATGGTAATTCCACTGTGCCAGGTAAAGTTTGGAATAAAAGTGATTTTTGTTTCTAATGAATCCTCTCAAGTGTTGAGCGACTGTTTATAGCAATGATTGTCTATTCATTCTAGATTTGTAACCAAGCTACTGGAAGATCTCATTTTCTTTGTTGCTGATGTGCCCAATAATGGGCAAGAAGTTTTGGATGTGATCATTACCAAGCCAAACCGKGAGCGACAAAAATTAATGAGGGAACAAAATATATTGGCTCAGGTATGTCCTACTGTTTTAATAACTTAATTGTATTTGCAAGCAGTTTGTAGTAGAGAGTGACATGAAAAAATGTTATTTTTGGGTAACTTAGCTTATGCCARCTTGGGTTTGTGTCTGGTGGCATTCGGTAGAAATGACATTACTTGGCCAAGGCTCATCTCTTGGTTCCTGAATCAGAGTGAAGCATGAAGGGTTGTGTCTGATGGCTCTTAATTTCATGTGATTCTGATGACATAAGACTAGGTTTGAGAGCAAATTGTTCACCAAATTTAAGACAAGAATGTAGCATGGTCCCAATCCTCCAAGTGTTCCCCATAYAGGAAAAATTCTAGTGCCCTTATGGAGCTCTGATTTTGTTTGTATGAGGGCAAACTTGCAAGTAAAAAAAAAAAAAAGTATTCTGCGGGAAGCAATTTAAGAAAAGGGAGAAGAATGATATTGTYAGCCAGCATAGTTCTCCTTTTTCATCCCTAAATTATCCAAAGTTAAGAGACTTAACTAAAACTGTTTAAAGTTGGAGATAGCAATAAAGAGAAGGCAGTGTCAATCAAACTGGTGGGAAATGTAAAGCTAACCCCAAATGCATAAAGCTGTGATATGTCAGGTTGTGCCCCCACTTGTGTTTAATCAASGCTCTTGTGCTGATCCCTGTCAGGGCACATTTCCATGGAGTGCTGTAAGTTCAGCAGAAATCTGGGTCTGGTTTTCACTCTCTGTGATTTTGATTTTGAACAGATATTCGGCATCCTCAAAGCTCCTTTTAAGGACAAAGGTGAAGGATCAATGCTGAGACTTGAAGACCTGGGTGACCAGAGATATGCTCCCTACAAATACATGTTAAGATTGTGTTACAGAGTTCTAAGACACTCCCAACAGGACTATAGGAAGAACCAGGTCAGTGGTATTGAGGATAATTTTCCTCCTATATAATTATAACCTGGATYTGACATGGCTCTCTGCACCTAAAGGTGGGATTCTGTGGTAATGGTGAAAGACATTTTTTTGAGTGTTGCTTAGTAGTGTATGAATTGAAAGTTGAGCAATGAATATCACAAGTTCACTTTGTACTTTTTCAGGCTCAGAGTGAGACTGGGGCACACTGCTTCATTCATGAGCTTTCTGTTATTAAAAATATGTTCTTGGAGCCTGGATTGTAAAATGGGAGCTCTGCAAAGCTGTCTGTTTCTCTTGCTTAAATATTTGTAGAGGGATGGCAATGAGTCAGAGCAGAGGTTGTTATGTCAGGTAGCCTGATTTCCCACTGCTGGAGACTGCCTGTGAGCAAGAGGTATTTCAGAACATAGACTAAAGGGACTGGAGATAAAAGCCTGAACTGCTGGGGGGCTTCTTTGTTTTCTTTCCAATGTTTTACAGAAATATTTCTATCCAGAAGGGAGAGAAACAGAGGAGGGAAGACTCAGGAAAAAGCTTCTAAAGCACTATTAAACCTCTCAGTTTTTCCTTTTTTAATTTTTTTTTTTCTAAAAAGGTTGCAATTTCTTGAATTTTGTATATATTTTCATGGTTTCATTCCTTTGGTTTATGAAAGAATAAGAAGACTTAGTCATCCCTAACATGGAATCTATTTCTCAGGGTACATATTTTAGGTATGCAGAAGTTCTTTTGTTCAGGCCAGTTCAGAGAGGGAAATTTTGACTGTTGTTTGAATTGCCAACTGAGCTGGATGCCTCTGGTTCTAAAAGAAAAAAACATTACTGCTTAGCAGGTCATCATGGGAATTTTTCCTTTTTTCAGGAATATATTGCTAAGAACTTCTGCGTCATGCAGTCCCAGATTGGTTATGATATTCTGGCAGAAGACACCATCACAGCTTTGTTGCACAACAACAGAAAACTGCTAGAGAAACACATCACAGCTAAAGAAATAGAGACGTTYGTGAATTTACTCAGGAGAAATCGAGAGCCAAGGTTTGAAGTGGTCCACGTAGCATTTTTGCAGTAGCTGTGAATTGTATCCTATTCATTGCTTTGACATCTCTTTTTCCCTATTTTGACCTGGCAGGCAAAAACTCCACATGTACAGAAAATATTAGTAATTAGTAATTAGTAATTCTTGAAATTTAACCATATCCTCATTTTAAAACTAGAGCTTACTGAAAGGATAACTTTGAACATTTGGTCATAGTTGAGATTGGGACACCGAGAAATGAACAGAAATTTCTCCCAGCTCTGCRGCTCCTCTGTGAAGCTGCTACTTGTGTTGGCTCCCCTGCTAATAATCTTGGTGTAAATCACACACATGTCAATTTTTCTAAGATTTTATTAATAACAGTTTTCCTTCAGGTTCTTGTTCTAGATCAGACCTTAAAAGGGCTAGGACATTGAAGATCCTGTAACATGTGTCCTAGATCAGATTTTGTTGCAAATCAAAAATTCTGGCCTTGAACTTCACTCAGCCAAAATTTTTTTAATCAGCTTTAGGTCAGATTATAAAAGAAATGGATTTCTTTATTTTTAAATGGAAAATCTCTCTTTTATTGGATTTTCAATTGTAAAATTAGCAAAGTAATACAAATATGAGAAATTAATGTACTGAARGCCGAATATTGTCCTCTGTAATTGTAAATACAATTTTTCTGGAAGTGATTAGGGATATTGCTCAAGGCCTTGGTGCTTCACTGCCTCAATTATTTTATGTATGTCTGTTTTACCTCACTCTGTAATCTCATTGCCTTTCCCATGCTAAACTGGGTTGGGCTTGGTCAGTATRAAGAGGAAACCACAAGATCAGTGCCATTTCTGAGGGGTCTTAGTATTTATTGACAATTGAAYATCAAATTTACTCTTGGTGGAGGGTGTAATGGAATTTATGCCATAACCACATCGTGCATCTTGTGTATCCACTTCTTTAWGAAATCCAGGAGCAATAAATGATTCAAAATTACCCCTTGCCAGAATGTTGTAATCTGAACAGTAAATACTTGTTCTTGACATTGATTTTCATGGATAGTCTCGTAGATTTTCACAGCACTGTTTGTATGAGTGAAAATTGTGGCATTCTGCTCTAAAACACATGAGCATTAAAAACCTTCTGAGTTTTGGCTCCAACTRGGCACCTTCCCCCGAATTCTGTGTAATTATGTGCTGTTTTCTTAATCTTTGTGATTACTGTGTGCTGTTAATTAACAAGTTGCTACAAAGCTTCATTTCAGTCACTGGTGAACTTTTTCCTAAATGTACCCTAAAAATGCTGTCTGTACTCATTCCCTACAGTTCCCAGGCTTTAGTGGGGCCTGTGGTCTGTGCTAATTCAGAACTGATTTTTTKATTTCCTCTGGTCAGATGATCATCTACAGAGGTTCAAACTATTGGATCCTTGAATTGAATCCTGGCTGATAGCAGATGGTCAGAGTTTTTACCTGGATTTCTGAGGAGGTGGAATATATGATCCATGTGTGTGTATTCCTGCTCATATCTGCTCCCCCAACAGCTCTTGAGCACCTTGCTAAGATTTATCTACATTGGCTAGAGGAGTGGTGGCCTCATAGATACTTAATTCCTATGAATATAATGGAAAGAGGAAACTGTATAGAGGGAAGAGGCCCTTTTTATATTGCAGTGTGTCAAAGGCTGCAATATGGATTGCTGTTACTGCACACACAGGAATCCCTGAAAAGAGACAAACCCAGGTAGCTAATGAATGTCCCAGCTGTGAGGAAAGCCTCAGCCTGAACCTTGTTAAACATCAGAAGATTTAAATTTGAGAGACAAATTCACAGGAAACTGATTTCCCTGCAAAGCTGTGCTCTTTCTGCTTTACATGGAATGACCTCTTAGAATACAGAGTCCTGTCTGCAGGTCCTGACAGATCTTCACTCTTCTCTGCTAGCCCAGTGTTCCCTGGCAGTGTTCAAGGCCAGGTTGGATGGGGCTTGGAGAAACCWGGTCTAGTGGAAGGGGCTGTGAGTTGCAAAAGTATGAACTGGCAAAGATCATRTGTTGATAAGTATCATGGCATGGACTCCCTCTAGTCTATGCATCCTTTAGTGCTGGATGCTACAGATTTCTGTTGCATTTTCCCAGTAGTTAAGTCTTGTGTTCTGCTCCGTGATTTTTTTGACTGCAGATTCTTGGATTATCTGTCAGACCTGTGTGTATCTAACACCACAGCAATACCAGTAACTCAGGAACTCATCTGCAAGTTTATGCTGAGCCCAGGGAATGCTGACATTCTCATCCAGACCAAGTGAGTATCTGTAATTGGAACATGCCACATTTTTGTTCTCTGCTCTCTTACATTTGTAGCAGTTTGCTCGTGGCTCCACTGTGAATGGTTTGTGTTTGCAGGCTGGTTTCAACCCAAATGGACAATCCCTTGGAATGCCCAGTCATCTCGGATGACATTGATGAAGAGGAAGTGTGGCTKTACTGGATTGACAGTAACAAGGAGCCTCATGGCAAAGCCATCAGRCATCTGGCTCAGGAGGCAAAGGAGGGCACAAAGGCTGATTTAGAAGTTCTTACCTACTACAGGTAAAACTGCTTGTTCAAATGGAAGAGAACATAAACTCTCTGAAAACCCCAGTGCTGTTCTTATCATTTGCCAATATCAAAAAAGGAAACCAGGTCATGCCAGAAACCGAGATTAAAAGTTCACTTCAAGTTTTCCTTGTGGGAGTCATCACAGTCTSTCCTGTCTGTTCCAGGCAAATCTTGAATTTCCTTTGCTCATMACATCTCTCTGTGTCTCTTTTTTATTTTGCCTTTTCTATTTCATTTGTTGGGCTTTAATTTTAGGTTGTGCTGCTGTGGAAGCAGGGCACACTCTGAGGAGGGAGCACACATCCTGATTGTCTTGAGGATTAGAGAGGAAATGGGATCATGGAATAGTGTTTAATACTGACCGAAAACAAATAGTTTTTAATGTCAAATAGATCCTTTGCTTGAGGAAGTCACTCTTGTTATTTTTTAGGATTTATATCAGAGAGGCTCACAACAGGCTTATGACATGAGATTCATTTCCAACCTATTTCCTTGAATGTTATTACCTTTTTTTTTAAGGTACCAACTGAACCTCTTTGCAAGAATGTGCCTGGACCGTCAATATCTTGCCATTAACCAGATTTCTGCCCAGCTGTCAGTAGACTTGATCCTCAGGTGTATGTCTGATGAAAGCCTCCCCTATGACCTCCGGGCTTCCTTTTGTCGTCTGATGCTGCACATGCATGTGGACAGAGATCCTCAGGAGTCTGTGGTGCCTGTCAAATATGCTAGATTGTGGACTGAAATTCCTACCAAGATCACAATTCACGAGTGAGTTGAAAGTKTTTCAAACTAAAGTAAAAAAGCTCTTTGTAGGGTTAGTCTCAGAACAAAATTGTTGTAGATGTCCAATGTAACAAAATGTGGGTGAAAAGGTATTTTGTTGCAGAGCACAGAACTATTAATTATTGTTACTCTTTGAGTCTTCATGTGTAGCTTTCAATCATTCAGTATTTAAATTTTACTTTTCACGATGCTCTTATATTGAACAAGCTGARGGAAATGGAATGGCCTTTCCTCAGACCACCTGCACTTGAAATAATGMAATTGTGTCAAACATGACAGGTTTGCTAGGCTGGAACTTGGTTTTATACCTCAAGTTCAATAGAAAGCCACAGTTAGGAACCCATAATTATGACACACCTGCTGGCCAGAAACAGTTCACAGAGGCTTTGRCCTTCACTTAGTGAAGTACTTAAGCATGTGCTAAATTTAATTTTAGAGAAAGGACCCTTGATTTCAGTGGAAATCCTCTCTGGCTTCACTGGTTTGATGGAGCAGYACTGGGATACTCCCAGCCAGGGAATATCTGACTGAGGACAGAGGAAGAAGTGCAGCAGTGCAGTAGGCAGTGTTGTTTCTGTTAGTGACCTTGTTGAATTGCCACTGCAAGATTTGTGTGCCCTATCTGCCAGAAGAGTGGTATTTTCCTGTCTGTTCTTCCCATTCACTTCAACCCTTCCTGGTACTGTTGGAGGGAAGGTTTGTGCATCCACTTTCCATATCCACAAAGAGCTGAACTGGGTAATTTCAGAGGACYGTGACTGGTTTGTCTTTTCTTCAGTGGCAGCTGTTCCTGATATTAGAGGTGTTTAGTTTTCCTTCTGTCTGTGCCTTGTATTGTAGGTATGATTCTTTCACTGACTCTTCGAGGAATGAAATGAAGACAAAGTTTGCACTAACAATGGAATTTGTAGAAGAGTACTTGAAAGAAGTTGTGAATCAACCTTTTCCGTTTGGAGACAAAGAGAAAAATAAACTTACATTTGAGGTACTTCTCAGCTGTCTGCATCCTACTTACAGTATTCCTCATTTCAGATAAGTTGRCATTGGTTCTTTCAAAATAAAGCTAGTTGCAGAATAAATGTTMGTGTAAAATAGCCTAAAGAAGCAAGCAGCACCTGTTCCTAATTCCAGTGTTTTTGATGATGACTGTTACCACACTAAATAATATTCCTTACTGCTGTATTTTTCCAACCTTTCCTTCCTTCTCATGAGACAGGAGATTGCATTGGAGGGAGAAGGGATTTGTGGGGGGGTGAATGGCCATATTCCTGTTCTTTCTACACTRGTGAAATAACTTGTAAGGATTCTTCAATAAAAGCAAGTGCTGTTTTCTGTGTAGGATATTACACTGAACGAAACACTCTGAATAGCCTGATCCTGTGGTTTAAACACTGTTTGAAATTCCTGACAGAAACTTTAGATAGACCTAGATTTTCTAGATTCAAATAGCATAARTGGGAAATGCTTACAGCTATTACAGTTCTTCCTCCAGCCTATTCCTCTTCATTGCTTTTGCCTCTGATCMCCTGAAATCACCTCTGTGCAAACTTAGCACAGTCATCTTATTCTTCTTCTGACTTCCATCTTCCCCAATGATGCTGCCTCTTAAAATAATTTACCAGAGTCTTTCTTCTTGATCTCTTACACATTTTCACAGATGCAATTGTAGTTTCTTCAAACCTTCCTAAATCTCACCTTAGCTTTTCTGTCTGCTGTAACCTGACTGACCAATTGCTTTGTCTAACCCTGACAAACATTTAATGTTACTGGCCTTAGTCCAAAAATCAGTGGGAAGACTTGTGCTAATCTGCATGCACTCAAGGTCTGAATCTCTGTGGAAGCTGATGTGTGAAATGCCACCGAAAACCACAGAGGTTGTCAGTACTTCCTTCATTTTTAATTTCTTTTTCTCACAGGTGGTACATCTGGCTCGAAACCTCATATACTTTGGCTTTTATAGTTTTAGTGAGCTTCTCAGAYTGACCCGGACGCTGCTGGCAATTCTAGATATTGTTCAAGTTCCCATATCGTCATACTTCGAAAGGCTGAGCAAGTTTCAGGATGGAGGTGAGATAAGCAGCAAAGACTGTTATTCCAGTGGGTAATTAGCTTTTTAGGTTGGAAATAATTTATGGAACATCTCAGAACTCTTTCAAAGTTCTTTATTGACACATTAAGCCACCTACAGCAATGCACTTCAGGGTACATTAAGTTGGTCAGCTAAAAAGGAACCTTTTTGAATAGAGCTGCATCCCTCATGACTTGTGGGTATGGCATTGGTGTTGCTGCTCCTTTGCTTATYTGGAACTTTCAACTTTGGTTCTGAACCTCAATACCCCTTGCACTGAACATCCTGAAGAAGTTCAAACAGCATTTGCCTGGGCACAGGGATTATGGTGCCATCTGTGGCACGGGTGTTTGTCAGTCTTCTTAGCACTTCACTGAAAGGGAGAATGAGATGGTGCTGGTCCCRCAACTGCAGAAACACCAGATGGAAATCCAGAGGAGGCCATCCTCTCCCTGTTTGTCAGTTTAGAAAATTCTTATTTGAATCCAGACCACAGTGCATCTCTGACAACTGCAGGACTATCCTGCATGTCTCGTTGCCTTTTCTACTGTGGTTTAAAATTGGGTTGAAGAATGAGCATGCCAGGAAGGTGCTAGAAATCASCAGTTTAGTTTTCCTGTGTGAGTGGAAGAGAGGTGTGACTGTTGTGTGGGCTGAGGGTCCAGGAGACTGACTGATGGCACATTCTGTTTTAATATGTAGCTGGTGTTGCCAGCCAGCTGGCTCACAGCACCAAAATGGATGAGCTGTCTTGTTTGAAACAATTATTTTGTGTTTTCTCTGGGAGGCCTTTTCCCAGCCTTGAGCTTTTCTAATCATCATTTTGCTCAGTCACTCCCACGGATGCCCTGCAGGAGTGTGCTGTCCTTCACAACTTTTTCCTTCTTTGAGGATCACACACTCTGGAGAGGTGCAGACTGTCATTGTCATCTCTGAACCAAGAAGTCATATGCTTGGTTCTCTTGATCTTCCCTCCATCACTGCAGGCAGACTTTGCCACTGAAACCCTCTGGAAGTCTTTCCTGCAATGCAGTGCCCACTAAGTCATGCTGGGGCTGGCTGCAGTCCCTCCTCAGCACTAGAGAAAAGACTCTATGCCCAGATACTTGGAATTATGTTTTCCTTTTTTGTCCCTGAAAGACTGCATTGCAGACTCTCCTCTTAAGTGGCTCTGGACACAGTTTGACTCCAGACACGATCTTGGCATATTGGCAGCCTGGGACATGCAGATGTGGTTCTTCTGCTTAGTGCTCACTCTGCCCAAGCCTTTAATCCTGATTATGCATCTGAGTGTTTTTGCTAACATTTATTACCCATAAAATCATGTTGCATCCTTAATTCCCTTTTCTCTTGAAGGGTTTCCTTTCAAGCCATGTAAGAAAGGAAGGAACCACCCATTGAGTGCAAACAGACCTGCTTTCAGTTATATGAATTTCCTTAGCGATTCCATGCAAATCAATGAATTTGCTTTGAAATAGATGAGTGTGAAGGAATGCTGCAAATGGCACCACCATGCAAATGGAAGCTCAGTAGCCTTTTTAGTAATTCACAGCCATGTACTGGAGCCTTGTTGGAAACTTTTATCAGAAACCTGGTTTTGTCTATTGTCCTTTCAGCAAAAAAAGGCACAGAACAAAGGTGTCATTTTTTATTAGCTTCAGCCTTTATATACATTATTTAAATTTCTTTCATGCTGTAGTTGTCTCCATGGCTGTTATCTTTTAAACATTGACCAGTTCGGGTCAGGATGTGGCAATCCATGGATGGTCTTTTGGTAATTATCTGTGGGTTGATTTAGTTTTTTTGGTTGGGTTTTTTTTTCCAACTTTACCTACAAACTCTATGTCTAGAAAGCCCACTGCTTTGGAGAGGTTTTTTTTTGCTGGCTCAGACTGTCAGTCATATCTGCAATCTTACAGGAGGCTGGAGATATTGGCTGTGCTGTCTAGACTTAAAAATAGGCATTGAAACTTTGCTTTGGTGAGACAAGTAGTTTTATGCAGAAATAGCTGTAAGACTGGCTGGAGAGGCCTTCCACAGTCTTTGTAAAAGTGAAGGATGTCTTTGGATGGTCACATCTTGTCTTCAGCCTCCCTTTTCTTTTCTGTCTGACAAGTTATAAACTTRTGCATTCACTTTGCAGTTGAGATAGAATGATCCTGAATGTTTAACTGTTGTGTCCATCTTGCTTTATCTCCTGCTTTCCCGGGAGGTGCAAAGTGACCTACCCATGGGCTATGAAGATGCATGTGTCACAAGGATGAAGTTTAAGCAATTTAATAACTCATATTCACTATTTTTGAGCACCCACCTTCATGTTCAAAGAATATATTTCATGTCTGAAAATTGTATTGCTCAAACAAAATGGGGGAGCACTTTCCATGAAGGAAAACCACACAAGAATTAATCAGCATCTTTTAAGTTGCACATTGCAACACTGAGGGTTGGTGCTGGGCTGGAACTTCTGGGCCTCTGCATGTGGATGATACTAAGGGTGAGTCCAAAAGTACAGATGTTACCTAGCTCCTATGGAGTATGGATCCATCTTGTCTAAAATCGACTAAGGGATCCTGAAGAATGAGCAGGCAAGCCAAAAAACTGGTCTTGGAAATTTTGTTTAGATCTYCCCTCACTCTGAGAGTAAGGACTGTTCACCAAACAGAGCTGTAGGTGTACACTGTTCTTCAATTTTGTAGTAATTATAAGATATAAGATTGTTCACCAAATGTTTCCTTTTCCTTTTTACACAGATACCCTCTTTTATAAAYCTGTATTGTTCAGAACATGTCAGTTGTTTTCTTAGTTACCTGTCCTGGCTTTTTATTGTCTCTTTTGATTTACAATGCTGGTCTCTTATGCTATTTTAAAAGGATTAAAGTAGAAATTATCTCAGTCTGTTTTTTTTAATAGAAATTGGAATTGAAATTCCACATCACTTGGAAAATGTGATGACATTTTTTAAAATCAGAATGGTCTGTTGATTTTTTCAGCAAGTGTTTTCTTATTTGCAACATCCTTAAAATACAGACAGATGGATTGTTCCCTGCCCTCTTTCAGGTAGGGGTGAGGGTGAGTTCTTGCCTTTAGTGAACATCAGATTCCACTCTCCCACCCTCTCCAGACTGCAGCATTCTATCTGGCAGGTCCAATATTATAACTGTCATACCAAACCTTTGCAGAATATTGCAGGTAGGTGTCCCTCCAACACATTATTCCTCTAGGGATGTGCCGGTTTACACGTTTTTTTTTTGGTTTTTTTTTTGTTTTTTTAAGAAAAAATACCTTCCTTGAGTTGAAAAAATCATTACATTGATGTTCTTTAAACAAATAAGCAAACAAGCAAATAGGTATGACTGGTTCTGTTGTGATTTTGTGTATATATTGCAAATGTATGGAAGTAAATTATGAATTTCGGAGTTTATAAAAGTTGTGGGGTTTMGTTTGGGTTTTTATGTKTGTTTGTTGGTYGGGTTTTTTTTAAAGCTTCCAGTCAGGGATCACAACTGTCTAGGCATAAGCTTTAATTCAGTAGGAACATGTATTTCATTCCTTGAGCTTAGGGCTTTGAAGTACAGCTCCAGTTCTGACAAACACTGAAAGCCAGTTATGATGCCTGAGACTGACAGTTTATTGGTATAAACAAATATGCTTAAATTTTATCAAGCATTAGGGGCGTGATCCTGTAAATCTTCTGTAGAAAAAGTGCTACTGAGTACCAGCTTATRTTCTGTATATTTTAATTTTCATCACCATCTAAGTGTAAATTTGCGTAGATTGATAGTAAATGTATATTTAACAACAAGATTTTGTGAGTAGTATGCCTCTTCAGAAATGCAGTCATTACAAGATTCTAGGGAAAATTGCTTGAAAAGAGTTTGCCCAAATGGAAAAATAATGTAATTTCTATTCTGCTGCTGTGGTAGATAGAGGGTAGCATCGCTGGAGAAGTTTAGCATTTTGGTCAGGATCTACGTGTTTTACGTGACAGGTCTTGTATTTTAGTTTTATTCAAATCTGTTGATTTCTGTGGGAAAATCAGTGCTGAATAAATTTGGGGACAGGTATGTTATGCTGCCTATCCATTATTGACATTGGAATGTTTCAGGTCACTAGCAAAAAAAAGCTTCCAAAATCTGATTCCAGAAGCTGTAGGGAASTGGTGAGCTGGATTCCTGGCTTGTTTGACCAGTCCACATTGTGAAAACTGTAGTCAGGATTTTGGGAAATATATTAATGATGGATGGAAGATTATGGTGASTCTTGCCTGTGGGAAGCTTTCCTGGAGTTATGCACCTCAAAATTGAAACAACCRAATTTTCAGCCAGGGATCTTGAGTCTTCTTCCCTGTTTAATATTTATTTCTTAAATATACCCACTTATTTCAGTAAGTAAGTAATTTACTTGTTAAGTAAGGAATTATATATGGTAAGTGTTGAACTGTTGAGGCGGAGCTGCAAACAGGGTATATTTTTAGGCTTAGTGGAAGTTGCATAAAGACTTAATTAACCTTTTACCTTAAGATGTCCTTTTCTATYCTTTGCTTAAATTTGGAGACACATTGGTAGCTGAGATAGTCCTTGATGTTTTCTGTGGGTTTCTCTGTCTTGGTTTTGCAAAGATTCTAAAAAGATCACAGAATCACAGAATGGGTTGGTTTAGAAGRGACCTTGAAGATCATCCAGCTCCAACCCATGGCAGGGCATGGGCAGGGACACCTTCCACTATCCCAGGGTGCTCAGAGCCCCATCCAACCTGGCCTTGGATACTTCCAGGGATGGGGCAGCCACAGCTTCTCTGGGAAACCTGTGCCAGGGCCTCACCACCCTCACAGGGAACAATTGCTTCCTGATMTCCAATCTAAACCTCCTCTCTGTCAGTGTGAAGCCATGCCCCCTTGTCATGTTGATCCATATATTATTGTAAATGTTAAGCCTTAGTTCYTTTAGAAAGCTTGATTTTAGTGCCGCTGTCAGTTCCTTTAACCAGAATTAAATTCATG